CAAGACGACCCCCGATTTTTGAGGGATGTTTTTTAACATCAGAGGTCGTCTTGTACGCCGGAATATACGGTACCTTAGAACTCCCACTGATGTCTGTCCTGGCAGAGTTGTATGGGAACTAGACCAGTGGGGAGCAAAGCACAAGCTGAGACATGACTTGGAGAGGCAATTGCAAATGCCAGTTGCAGGCAGGGCCCTCTGTGTAACTGAACTCTTCCTTCTGAAAGCAAGAGTGCGTGTTGGCACTTGCTCCAGAGGGGATATTGCTTTGTCAGATTGCTTTGAAGATAGGCAGTGAGGGGAGAATCTGGTTAAGCATGTTTATCTTTGAAAGGAACAAAGGAACACGGAGGAGAGGCCTGGCTGTCTGTGCCAGAGATGTGTCAGAGATCACACAATCTCCTGGGCCAGAGATTCAACAGTGGGACCACCTGCAGAGGAGGAAGCGGCATATGTTTGGAAAGGAGCACCCTGAAAAGAGAGGAGGTGGAGGACACTAGAGAATGAAAGGGTACTTTGATCTGCTGATAAGCAAAGTATAAACATCCAGCTTAAATAAACTCAAGGGGAAAAAGGAACAGGAGACTAAGGGCTTGTCTACACCTAGGCTATGTCTAATACTAAGAGTTTTCTCGGCAAAAAATATGCTAATGAGGGACTCATTTGCATATTTTCTGCCACTCCGTTTTTGCGCTGGGGTTTTTGCGCAAAAACAAGCAGTGTAGACATTTCCTTTTTGTTCAAAACCCCCTTTTCCCACACAATCGGTAAACCTTTTTGGGGGCATAAAGAACCTGCAGAAAAAGGGGTTTTTGTGCAAAAAGAAAATGTCCACATTGCATGTTTTTGCACAAAAGCCCCAGGGCAAAAACAGAGCAGCAGAAAATATGCAAATGAGATCACGACTCATGCAAATGAGTCCCTCATTGCCATTTTTTTTGGCAGAGAAAACTCGTAGTGTAGATGTAGTGCTCCAGAGGCACAGCTGCGCCACTGTAGTACTTAATGAAGACACTACCAGTGCTGGAAGGAGAGCTTCTCCCAGCAGCAAAGGCACTCCACGTCTTGAGAAGCAGTAGTATGCTGAGAGGAGAATGATGGGGGAGGGGCACTCCAAGGTTTTGGAAAATGGTCGAGGGCCACACTCTTCCAGGGTATTAATGGAGGTGCGGGGTCTGGGATGGAGGTCGGGTATAGAAGTTTGGTTTGTAACCTTGGGTAAAAGGGGATTGTGATCTGGGCAAGTGATTTGGGTGCCAGATCTGGGAGGGAGTATGGGTGCAGGAGAGGGGCAGAGAGTTTGTGTATGTTGAGTGTGTGGAGGGGGGGGAAGGAGGCAGAGGGTTGGGAAAGGGAGGGGCTGGGGTGCCAAAGGCAGGCCCTGGGGTGCGGGGTCTGGGATGGAGGTCGGGTATAGAAGTTTGGTTTGTAACCTTGGGTAAAAGGGGATTGTGATCTGGGCAAGTGATTTGGGTGCCAGATCTGGGAGGGAGTATGGGTGCAGGAGAGGGGCAGAGAGTTTGTGTATGTTGAGTGTGTGGAGGGGGGGGAAGGAGGCAGAGGGTTGGGAAAGGGAGGGGCTGGGGTGCCAAAGGCAGGCCCTGGGCAGGAGACTTACCAGCCAGAAGCCCAACCACCCTCCTTGTCCGCATTGCTAAGGCTTGAAGAGCTTAAAAAGTTTCTCAGCCAGCGTGCCTGCCCCATGTCTGCACAGGCTATGTGCTTGTGTGAATAACTGAGTAGGAAGGGAGGGAACTAGTGCTCCCCCTCCATTTTTTAAAGAGAAATGGCCCCACAGCCACTTTTTTTGAGTGGTGTGTGGGGCTGCGGGATAAGCAGGGGAGCCTGCCTAGGGCTCCCCACAGCGCCCATGGGCTGGATCCGGTGGCTTGGTGGGCCGTATTTTGCCAAGGCCTACCATAACTGCACTGCTCAGGGGTGTGGATTTTCCATCCCTGCGAGAGTTATACCTACATAAAATTTGTACTGCTGACCAGGCAAAAGAATAGCGCACCTATTAGTGCACTGCAAAAGTTTTAATGATCAGCAATTTATGGCAGATACACTGCACAAGCTCACTTTGTTTTTGGCACATGATTGAAGTGGATAAAACTTTCTCCTTGGGTTCTGTCACACTGAGGATGAACACCCTTTCTCTCCCAGCTACCCAGGCCTTGATATCTAAATGTACAGGTTGCAGTCATACTTAACATTTGGAGGCAAATTAAATTCCCTAGCAAATTAGGGAAATGTGGCTTAAATGAAAAACTATACTCAAAAGAGTACCAATCAATGGTACACAGGTCAAACTGGGAGGACATATCTAATAGAGTACCACAGGGGTCTGGTCTGGATCCAGTGCTGGTCAATGTTTTCATTAATGGAGTGGAGTATGCTTATAAAATTTGTTGAGGATGCCAAGCCGGGAGTAGTTGTAAGAACTTTGGAAGGCAGAATGGAAGTTCAAAATAACCTTGACAAATTGGATGACTGGTCTTAAAAGCAACCAGATGAAATTAATTCAGTAAAGACAAGTGGAAAGTACAACATTTGAAGATGGGGGCGGGGGGGAAATCAAACACACAAAACAGAGAACAGACTAGGTGGCAATTTGTATTCAAGGACTTGGATTATATAATGGATCAAAAATTGAACGAGTCAAGAATGTGAGACAGTTGCAAAAAAGGCTACTATTTAGGAGTGTAAAAGGAATTTACACAAGATTTGGGAGATTTAATTATCCTGCTCTACTTCCTGGTAAGACCCGAGGTGAACAGAGAGCAACAGCAGTAGCAACAAAAGAAACCTCTGACCTTTGAGGAAAACTGACCGGCTACGTCTACACTGTAGGGAAATGCGTGGGGGATTTAAATATCCCCCGCGGCATTTAAATAAAAATGTCCGCCGCTTTTTTCCGGCTTTTAAAAAAGCCGGAAAAGAGCGTCTACACTGGCCCCGATCCTCCGGAAAAAGCGCCCTTTTCCGGAGGCTCTTATTCCTACTTCAAAGTCTACTTCAAAGTAGGAATAAGAGCCTCCGGAAAAGGGCGCTTTTTCCGGAGGATCGGGGCCAGTGTAGACGCTCTTTTCCGGCTTTTTTAAAAGCCGGAAAAAAGCGGCGGACATTTTTATTTAAATGCCGCGGGGGATATTTAAATCCCCCGCGGATTTCCCTACGACGACTGGTGAAATTTACATGCCCCTTCCGGAAAAGGGGCCAGTGTAGACGAGCCCACCATGTTTAGTCTTGAGAAAAGACAAGAGGCAGCAACCTGGTAACTGTCATTAAATATGTTAAGGGCTGACATAAAAAGCATGGTGATTATTCTCCATGTCCATTGACAGAAAGCAATCAGCTTTACCTACAGCAAAGGAAGTTTAGGTTCGATATTAAGAACAGCTTTCCCTAAGAATAAGAATTGTTAAGTAGAGGATAGGTTACCAAAGCAATATTGTGGAATCTCCATCCTTGGAGGTTTTTAAGAGCAGGTTGGACAAACACCAGTCACAGATGGTCTAGGTTTACTTAGTCTTGTCTTCACATGGGTGGTTGGACCAGTTGATCTCTTCACATCTGTTTAGCTCTGCATTTGCATGATTTCTGCACCTGCTCTGCATCCATTGTGTGTACAAAAGGTGATTGCTTTTCAGAAGTTAGCTAAGGAAGTAAACTGCACAAGGTTTATTGTTCCCTTTCATTTAATTTTATAGTTGTTAGAAACAGCATCTGCCTGCTGAGTGCAATACGATCAGATTCTTCCTGTAAAAGCACAGGGCACTCTAGCAATACCTGTTAATACAGATAGTAATGGTGCAGTTTTGTATCATGCAGAATGAACAACAAAGATACTTCAAATGCCACTAAAAACGGGAGTATCCCTCCATTCTACCCCGTAGAGAATTTAAATATTTATACCTTAAATCATTCTTGTATGCCTTCACTCCTGTAGGTTTCACTTTCCCTAAAGGTGGAAGTCTGTATTTAAGCACCAGTTTCAGTGCACTGGTTCCAACTAGACAGAATGCAGTCTCATTCTACACAAGTTCTCCATAGGCCAGCTCTGCAGGAGACTTCACAAGCCATCATTAGAAGATAAAAGTGAATGCAGTAGGGCAGGGAATGTAGTAGTGCCTGCCAGTGGACAGATTGAGAGTCCAACACTTTCAATATGTAGTGTAATCCTCAATTTACCTGTAGTTTCTAGAAAACAGAAGAGACTAAAGAAAATACTGCCAGCTATTCAGTCCTTGAGTTTTGGTGTACTAAGGCTCTGTCCATCTTTTCTGGGTGAGATGTGGGCAGCATCATTCATACTCCTCACAGAACTCTAACTTCTGTATTCCAGCAGCTCCTACTGAGACACATTGTATGAACTACAGGCAGTCCCCGGGTTACGTACAAGATAGGGACTGTAGGTTTGTTCTTAAGTTGAATCTGTATGTAAGTCGGAACTGGCGTCCAGATTCAGCCGCTGCTGAAACTGACCAGCGGCTGACTACAGGAAGCCCGAGGCAGAGTTGCTCGGCCCCTCCCCCGCAGCAGACCAGGGAGACGCGGAGCAGCTTTTCTCGCCCCGGAGGACGCGGGCGGTCCTGCCGCCCGCGTCCTCCGGGGCGAGAAAAGCCCTGTTCGTAAGTGCGGATCTGACGTAAGTCGGATCCGCGTAACCCGGGGACTGCCTGTACCTGCCTTCACCTACCCATGACACATGATTTATCCCAACTAGGGATGTAAAATCCTAGTTAAACCTTAGGTGTAACCATTTAACTGATAAGCAGGAGTCCACTCCCAACAAAGGGAAATGCTTACTGGGTAACTGATTACCCATTCGCATCCCTAAATCCACCTTATTTTCTAACGTATGTTCTACTCAGCTATATCAGTTGGGCTATAAATCAGAAATCTTAGCAACTTCTACACCACAATATAAAAGAAAAAAAGTGCTTTTAATAATCAGCTGTTTCAGCAAAACAAATGAGGACACAGTACACACACTGCAATGATTTTGTATTTTCCCATTTTATTTGGAAATTTCGAGTTCCTAGAAATTCACCACCTTTGGTGATTTGCCTCCCAAATCTCATTACTAAATGTAAAACAAAATAAAAGGCTAATCGGTCAGTCTCAAATCAAACTTATCTTCAGTCGTGATCCTGCAGTTCAATCCACTAGTCATCCATGCAGAAACCCATTGGAGAGGGCTGCAGCAGCAGATCCAATTACAGTTGCAGACCTTTCAAGTCATATCCTAAGCACATCTGTCAGTGGTTAAATCACTCCACATTCAAGGTAACCTTCTATCTTTCCAATATATCCAATGGCACTAAAATTCCCATTAGACTTTGTGGAACACCTGTCAATATCAAAGGCGCCAGTACCTCAGGGTCATGGTTTAATTATGGGGGATGTGTCTGAACCTTGGCTAGTTTCTCCCGTGCGTTTTGTTGGGGTTAAGACTAGTATTACCTCTTTTTCCCACCCATGTGGGGAATTAATTTTGTTATGTGAACAAAAGCGGAGGCGATGTATCACACATCACCTTCATATTGGTGCACATAAAATTCGTGTGGCAGGGGTGAGACTGAGGGATATGTAGTTTTGGAAAGGGCTCTAAGATGAGGCAGAAGGTTGTGGTACAAGGGATGAGGATTCTGGAGTGGAGCCAGGGTTGAGGAATTTGGGGTGCAAGAGGGTGCTCTAGGGCTACAGCAAGGAGAGAAGACTCCTTCCAGCTCTCTTCCCACAGCAGCATCTGGGCTGGCAGGGACTCCTCTCCCTGCTGTGGCAGCTTGAGGGCTCAGGCTGCATGACAGGCACCCTTCCCTCAACCAAAGCAGGCCTGGCCTGGGATAGCAGTGCCCCAGCCATGGCTGGGTTGGGGCTGGAGTAGAAATGCCCCAGCCATGGCAGGTTGGGGCCAAATAGGATGGGGCACCCCTCCCCTGGAGGTCCAGGAATCCCAGTCACAACAGAGCTGGGGCCAGAAAAGGGGTGACCTGGCTGTGGCAGATTAGGGATGTCATACATGTAGGCTGGGGGAGGGATGCTTTCTCCTGACCAGGGTTCTCTGAATGCCTGTGTGGTGCTAACTAGGCAGCTGTGCAGCTGCATAGCTTACAGAGAACTTAATTTAAGACCACTATCTATTCAATCATTTGGTACATAACTATCACTACTGTAAGTCTACACAATATAGGCTAGTGTTTGCAAACAGAGCACCTTCCCACTGCCAGGAGTTGTGTGTGAGACCTGCCGAGGACTATGGTTGGCATCTAGTCACTAGGGTGGCTAGTGAGCTGGGCAAGGGTTATATATTAAATTGGCTGATGAAGGGTGTACTAGAATCTGCAGGATTATTAGTGACAGCTTAGGTGAGTCAAGTCTGTAGTTCTGCTGGAATTTCATGTGATTTGTAGGATCATTGTACATAAAAGACAACAGCATCAGTTTGTTTACTCCTTCCACATACTGAAGAGTGCCATAACACAAAAAAGTTACTTTTGAGGCTCTGGGTAATAACATCCTCGCCAGTCACGTATTCAAAATAGGGAGAGTACTATCTTGGCTGCAGAGTGCTCAGAGGTGTGGAAGATGATGATGGTGACTTTAGTCTGTTTTGTGAAAGGCACTAATGTGCCAGTGGTTTCTGATCGCCTCAGTCACTTCCTAGCCTTTAATAACAGCAATAGGTCTCAATTTAATAGCTTTCTTACTGATGCCAGCAGCATGGCAGGTGTTAACCACATCTGTCACATTCTTATAGGATTCTGGTGCCTGAAAAAAAAAAAAAAAAAAAAAGACACACAAAGTTAGATTATGCCTCTTGCTTTATCCTTCTATTGTGTTAAAAATAGGAAAACTTGCTTACTGATGACTGGATCCCTTAGGACCTGACAGGTCCTGGACAAGGGAATTTTCCAGATCAGGGAAGGTCTTGTCACTGCTGTCCTGGCCCGTGGCTGTAGCAGCCCTGCGAACTCCAGCAGTGGCCCAGCAGGCTCTCATTATCCCACCAGCTGTGAGCTCTGCAGCCCCCTCCTCCAATTCCTGGCCCCACTGTGGCTGTGAGCTTTGCAGATCCCTTGCTCTGCAGACTCTGGTGGCCTTTCCAGCCTCCCAGCCCCACAAGCGGCGAGCTCTGCTGCCCTCTCTCCGCCCCCCAACCGAGTTCCCAGCCTGGCTGGCTGCGGGCTCAGTGATCCACTCCTGCTGCAGAGTCCAGCAGTCCTGCCAGCTTCCCAGCCTCGCGGGGTGTGACCTCTGGTGCCTGGTGGGCTCTGCTGCCCCTACCGGCTGACTCTGCTCCCAGCTGCTGGCAACCTCTGTGATGGGGCTTGCTAGTCCAACAACATCTGTAGTCCTTCTGGACCACAGTTGTTGTAGGACCAGAGAGTTCAGACCACAGATTCAACCTGTAATTATTTGTACATAGCTAAAAGGTTAGTGAACCCCTTGAAGGGGGGGGGGGGAGGGGGAGAGAGGAAGGAGAGAGGGGAATCAAGCTATTTTGAAGATATTGGAAAAAATAACCCTAACTATACATATTATATGATGGGGGCTAATTTAGCTACAACTAATCAGGAAAGAGATCTTGGAGTCATCATGGATAGTTCTCTAAGACATCCATGTAGTGTGCAGCGGCAGACAAAAAAGCAAACAGGATGTTAGGAATCATTAAAAAAGGGATAGAGAATAAGACGGAGACTATCTTATTGCCCTTATATAAATCCATGGTACGCCCACATCTTGAATACTGCATCCAGATGTGGTCTCCTCATCTCAAAAAAGATATACTGGCATTAGAAAAGTTTCAGAGAAGGGCAACTAAAATGATTAGGGGTTTGGAACAGGTCCCATATGAGGAGAGATTAAAGAGACTGGGACTTTTCAGCTTGAAAAAGAGGAGACCTGGGGGGTAAAAAAAAGGGGGCCCGGGGGGGGGGGGGAGTATGATAGAGGTATATAAATCATGAGTAGCATGGAGAAGGTGAATAAGGAAAAGTTATTTACTTGTTCCCATAATATAAGAACTAGGGGCCACCAAATGAAACTAACAGACAGCAGGTTTAAAACAAATAAAAGGAAGTTCTTCACACATCGCTTAGTCAATCTGTGGAACTCCTTGCCTGAGGAAGTTGTGAAGGCTAGGACTATAACAGGGTTTAAAAGAGAACTAGATAAATTCATGGAGGTTAAGTTCATTAGCCAGTATGGATAAGGAATGGTGTCCCTAGCCTCTGTTTGTCAGAGGGTGGAGATGGATGACAGGAGAGAGATTGCTTGATCATTACCTGTTCGATTCACTTCCTCTGGGACACCTGGCATTGCCACTGTCGGCAGACAGGATACTGGGCTGGATGGACCTTTGGTCTGACCCAGTATGGCCGTTCTTATATTCAGGAACTGAGCTAACCACCATATTAGACTCAGAAGCAGGAGAGAGAACAACCAGCTGCCAATGTGGTGGAACAAGCTACCCCAGCTTCCTTCCATGGAGAGGAAGCCTAGGGAGGTTTGCTTTCACAGCCCTACTAGTGCCTGTCACCGCCAGAGCAAACCTTTATTTGGGCAGAGGACTGGATTAGGGTCATTTTGAATGCAGGCTCTTCATATCAGAGAGCGTATTTACAATTCCTAGTTCCATTAAAAACACCATACATTAAATGCTTCACTCTCAATAAAACTTTGAAGTACCAAAACCACCCACAATTGTGAATCATGTTTAAGAAGCAGATTGTTCATGGCCAAGAAACTGAATAATGTCCTTCCTCCTAGGTGTACAAATGCAAGAGTTCTATGCACCCTAATAGCAAAACAGTATCTGCACATTGCCAATTCTAGAAGCTGCCGTGCAAGATTTATTTAGAGCCGATAAGCACGTCACAGAAGGGAGGAAAACCAAGGAACATGGCCAAAAGGCTTATATGGCAGCAATATCAAGTCTCTTTGCACAATGGAAAAAAATTATTCTTATTCCCCCAAAAGATAGATTTCCAAGAGGAGATTCCCTTCCTAACAGCATGGAGAAATATTCAGTGGGACACTTGAATTCCTGAAGGAAGTGGTCAAATTTTTCAAGAGATGCTCCAATGCCCTACAATTTACTGTCCATTATAGTACATACTCAGGTCAGAAATTTAAAACTTACTTCTTCCATGACCAGCTTGGGGGAAGCAACACGGATGGCAATCCCCATGTCGGCCAGCTTGTCTAGCACATCCTGGAAGTCCAAGTTTCGTCGAGATTTGGCTCGGGACAATGCACGACCCTAAACGATAAGTTTTAGATTATTTCATTTTATTTTGTGGTCACCACAAAAAACTTGTATTACTAAGACAGACAAAGGAAATAAAAATCATACACCTAGCTGTCGCATTCCAGGGAAGACAGCATCTGCTGAAGCAATCATCCACAAGGTATAAATATAAACTATCCAGAGACTTGATGAAGAGCACCCTAAATATCTTACCTGAGGTTTACTTTGGGGCATTTCTGGTGCTATACAAACACAAGCTATTTTTAACAAACTCACACGCATTAATATTTAGTAGCATGTCCATGTTTACACAAACTCAGAGTAGAAAAACGTAGTTTGATTCCCTCCTCACCTGAGGCATGTGGTCTGTGTAAAAGGAGGCAGAAGTAAAACGCACTGGAGTGCTGGGTTCCTGCACAACTGCTAGGGCCCTATCAAATTCATGGCCCATTTTGGTCACTTTAATGGTGCTAGGATTTTAAAAAGCTGAAATAATGAAATTTATTATTTTTAAATCTGACATCTCACGGTGCTGTAACTCAAAAAGGAGCTGTGGGGAGGGTTGTGGTACCATTACCTTTACCTCTGCACTCCTACTGGGGGTGGTGCCTACTGGCTGCCCAGCAGAGTGGTGGCTGCTGACCAAGAACCCAGCTCTGAAAGCAGAGGCACCACCAGCAGCACTGCACAAATAAAGATGATGAGGTATGTTATTGGTATTGTTATTGCTGCACTACTGCCTGCAGAGCTGAACCCTCAGTCAACAGCTGCCACTCTCCAACCACGGAGCTCTGAGGCAGCAGTGCAGAAGAGCAGCATGTTATGGCATTTCCACCCTTATGTCTGTGCTATTGCTGGTGGGGCACTGCCTTAGAGCTGGGTGCCCGGTCAACAACTGCCGCTCTCTGGCTGCTCAGTGCTGAAGGCATTGCAGAAATAAGAAAGGCAAGTGTACCCCCTGCAACTCCCTTTTGGGTCAGGACTCCCAATTTAAGAAATGCTATTCTCTCCCATGAATTCTGTATAACATAAGGTAAAGGCACACAAAATGCCAGATTTCAGTGACAGTAACATGTTTTACATGACGGTGAATTTGCTAGGCCCTAATAATTGCACATCCTGGAGCGTTAATAAGGGTTCACCATGGGTACAACAATCCACTACATGCAGGTATCTAGGATTCAGGTAGGTTTCTCCTTTCATCCAAACTGGTATGTAGTTTGTATTCACAATCTGGGCTTTTATTGGGGGGAGGAAACTGCAACTATTTTGTCCCACAGTTAAAGAAGCCTTAGCACCATCTTCTTTCACCACTAAAAATGCTTTGCATAGATATTCTCAAGGCTGTCATTCCAGCTCTTAGGTCTGGGCTGTCAGTGTTTGGTGGCCAGGCACTATCAGCCACACCAATCCTTTCTATAGGCAAGGAAAACAGTTCATAGCTCCCTCCAGAGCCAATCAAAGCTTAAGCATTAGCCAGAGAGGCCTCAAGAGTGCATGAGGTAGGAATGTTAGCAACTATCAACTATCCAATAACCAAATGTTTGTTGGATAGTCAAGTAGCAACTTGACGTGTCGTTTCCCCCTCCCTCTTGCTGTCTCTATCAGAGAGAGGCAGCAAGGGTGGAGGGGTGGGGGGGGGAAGGAGTGGGAGCTAGTGTTGAGGGGAACCAGCTTTAAGTCAGTTCCCAGCACGGGGAAAAGGCATGAGTGGGGACTACTTCAGTCCCTGCTTGTGCCATTCCCACTGCAGGAGCTTCTGCCTTTGAAATGTACAAGAACCCTATGGGGGCTCTGGTAGATTTCAAAAGCAGAAGAGTTCCTGTTTGCCCCTGCAGCACAAGCAGTCCTTGCTCATCCTGTGCTCTCTGCGGTGCCCCCCCCAACTGCCTCTATGAGAGGCATCTGAGGGGGATGGGACGGGAGCTGGTGCTGGGGGGAACCAGCTTAGAAGCTGGTTCCCCCAGCACTGTCTTTGGGGTGCTGCCTGCCCCTGCTGCCTCTATCAGAGGAAGTGGGTGGGGCGGGAAGAGAGGAAGAGGAAGGAGCGTGGATAGGGGACGCTGCTGCAAAGCAGCCACTGACCGCAGCATCCAGGGCTGGCCGCGGCTGTTGTACTCTACACGAGCTAGGACCAAGCAGTCCCAGCTAGTGCTGATCGCTGGGTCTCTGCACTTTAAAACGTAGTAAGAGCCCAACAGCTCTTACTGCACATAAAAATGCAGAGTCATAGTGCGGGTGGCTCCAGAGCCGGCACCAACCAGGACATATTCTTGGCTCTGCACAGCAGCGTTTATTGACCAATCATGACTATATGATTAGCCAGATAATCGCATTTTAACATGCTTAGCATGAGGCACACTACCTGCAGCACTCTTTAGACTGGAGCTCTGGGAATTTTATCTACCCTACTAATTAGTATAACTGCCCCAACTGCACCTTGAGCAGCTGCTTTTTGGATATCCCCTCAATTGCTCCTTTAACTCTTATTGTACTTACAGCTCCATGGCACGTGGTTCCAAAGGTCTCAGTCATGCCTTGTTCAGTGCCAGTAAGAACATAGCTACAGGTTCCCATTGTCCCACCAATCAGTACCGGCTGTCCAGTCAGCTAAGGGTACAAACAAAAACATTACAGTTTAAGATCAAAATCACTCAAGACAAGACATTTTTGTTCAATAAATTGTATAAGATGAACCAGGGCACCATCAAAATGAATTCAGTTTCACATATCCATAAAAGACTGCTAGCAAGCCTCTGGCTGTGTACCCAGCATTCCCAAATCACCAGACAGACTAGAAAAATGCCGGCCGTGTATAAAAATGCTCACTATTGTGAGGAGGCTGGCAAATAGACACAGTTTGTCTTTAGGAGCGGACAGAAGGCAGATAGGTATAAGATCAGGCAAGCAACTGTATGGTGGGAAAGAAAGGTGAATCAGGAAGTGTCCAGAAGTTTCCATGTAAGCCTGAGGACAATGGCGGACACTGGCAAATGTTCCAATATAATTAATTTGCTACCCTGTTTGAGCTGCAACATTTACAAATTTTCCTGTTAGTAACACAGAAACCTTCCTATTCACCTGAAATCCTCTCTCCTGCCTCCACTTCCCCTAAAGCAAGAGTGGGCAAAATACTGTCTGCTGGCCAGATCCTTCCTGCCACTGTCCCATGGGAGCAAGACCAGACTCCCTGCCTGCTATGCCCCTGCCTGCCACTCAAAGTGGTCAGCTGTGTGTGCGCGCGCCTCCCCCCCACCCCCCACATGCTCTTTGCCCTCCCAGGGGCGGAGGGGAGGGCAGTCATATACTATCCTTGCCCCAAGTACAAGCTCGCAGCCAATGGGAGCAGTCTGGACCATGCTTATGGCACAGGCAATGCACAGAGGGCGCTATCCCCAAGGGGTGCATCGTGCACAGAGAGCACGTAGTTCCTGCAGCCGGCCACTCTGAGCGGCATGTGGAGGATGTATCTGAGGGTCTTGGTGGGCTGCTAGCCGGGAGCCATCTAAGGTACGCACCTCCTGGCCAAAGCCTGCACTTGGTATGCTACCCCTTCTCCCCAACCCTCTGCCCCCCATTTACCCTTGCCCCAGATCACAACTCCTGCTCCCACTCCCATACCCTCTTCCAGACCCTACACCTCAGGTCACATCCCCCTCCCTTCAACCAAACCCCTCCTGCACTCCAATATCCTACCATGCCTCTTCTGCACTCAACCTTCATTCCAGACCACTAACCTCCTCCATTAATATCCTAGAAGAGTGAGGCTCATGAATACTTACGAAATTCTTGGAGTATCCTCCCCCATAAAAAATTATTGCCCACTTCTTCCCTAAAGTTAAACGTACTTGGTAATCGACGGCAATGAGAGGATGATGAGGAGGGAAAGCCCTGGTCGACCCCTTTCTGTGCACCAGGAGGGTTCTTTCTTTTCCATCCACCACATGCTGCTCTACTTTAGCAATGTTATGAGACACATCATAGATCACATGAAGATCTAAGTCATCAGGGGTTGTGTTGAAGACTTTAGCAAAGGCCTAAAAGAGAAAGTTTGGATATAAAACTCAGGGACAATTGCTCACAGCTACAGAAGCCTTGTAATGCTCTCTGATTTATAGGGATTAAAAGCAGCAGACTCATTGGAAAATGGCCTCTCATGGGAAACAGTGAGTCAGTAAACAGAACACTGTAACTAAATGAAATGAGGTAAGGTAAACCTTTCAGTTCAGCCTCCTGGTTCTAGAAACACTGGGCCAAATGCAGCCCTGGCATTATTGACTTGAATGAAGTTTCAGTCATTTGAATCGTGCAAATTTCTCTACAACCGAACTAGACCAATTATGTGTTAGCTGGCAGTCTGACTTCTGATACTTTCAGAAAGATACAATGAGGAAGACTAAGCATACCAGAGAACAACCAAAATGCTATGAAACAACATACAGTATACCTTCATATTTCCTACTCTGTCAGTTTCAGGATAAAATTTTCCTTACCACTAAAATTTACCTTAGCACTTAGCTTTTGAAAATTGAGCACTGGCACTTCTGAAAATTCCACCCTCTTTAACTGGCAGAAGAAATGGTAAGATATGTTATTCTACATCCTTTAGATGTAGCCCAGATGTAATCCAGTGAAACTTTTCTGCTGGCGAAAGGTATTGGTCTGATGACCCTGGAGATGGACATCTTCTCTTAATAAGTAGATATAGCAGCAGAAAAGCACATGCTTCACCCAGCTGCTCCTAATTGTAGCTCAAAATGTTTTACTTTGCTCCCAGGATCTTTAAAAGCACCAGAATACTTGCAGCAGAACAGCATCTATGCTCCTACCTGTCTGGTTAGGAAAGTCATGGAGGAACGGTTGACCCATGCATAGTTCCCAGCCGCTGCCATTCCCTTTAGATAGTCTTGTCCCTCAGGGGATGCAATTCTGGCACATGCCAACTGGCGATCATTAACTATGATCTTGTCTCGTTTCATGGCTTTCTCCATAGCAACTAAAGCATCTGGGGAAACAAACAAACAAACAAGAAAACCTGTCTGTGTTACCTCTATCATGAAAGTCTTTAGACCTGGATTAACAGGCACAAAACCCAGCTCCCTCCACAGAGGCACCAGAAGATGTGTGAACCTTCAACTTCCTCTTTATATGTTACAAATGAATGTGTGGAATGACTACTTCAGTTGTTACAAGGATCGGCCCAGCACCACCTTCAAAGGGAAAGTGACAGAATTAGGTGCCTGGAGAAAAGACATGCTCTTTAGAGCAGTGGTTCCCAACCTTTTTATACTGGGGACCGGCAAACCCATTCACAAACTTTTGGTGGACCATAACATTTTATTTACATATTCATTAAGCAGATATTGACAACACTAAAAAAATTCTGTTAAAAGAATCCTTTTCTTTATCTTAAGCCACTAACACCATTTGCATGACTGAAAAAATACAACATAATATTACTGATAACTGACATGATTATTAATAATAGGATAAACTAAACATTGTACTCACACACTATTTAATGGGACTTCTGCTGCTGTATCTTTTTGCACATTTCTTTGAAGTTTACATCATAACTGGTCAAATTCAGCTTCATGCACAAAGACACAGACACAGACACTCTTCAGGCCAGAGTGATCTCTCTCTCAAACACACTCTGCAGGCAATGGTGATATCACCCCCCCACCCCAACTCGGACCTGGTCTCAGCCTTCCTGGGGCTACTCTACATCCTGAGGGCTGGCAAGCAGCGTGGGGTCCGGACGGACTGGGGTAGAACCCAGGTGTCCCTTCCTGCTCTAACAACTAGCCTACACTCCCCTTCCCTTCTCATAGAGAACACAGGTGTTTGACAGCCCAAGTGTACCTCAATCCTGACCCTCAAAACTGCTGTGAACAGCTGACTTCAGCCACCGGCCACACATACCCCAGCCCCGGAGCAGCCAGCATCGGTGTGGCCTGGCATTGGTCCGCGGACCAGCAGTTGGGAACCACTGTCTTAGAGCATGCGTTTTAAGTTCTAACTACCTAAAAATCCTAGGAGTATGATTTAGAAGTCTGAGCATAGCACTCAGAGAAGGAATACAGATATTCTAATCAAAGCTCCAACAAACTTTTTCTGTAACCTTTGGTAAGTTGCCAACTCTCTCCTTTTCTTCTTATTTCTATTTCCATAGCGCTTGGGGATCCCAACCAAGGATTACAGTCTCATTATACTAAGCACATACATATTAATAAAGACAGCTTTTTCCCCAGACAGCTAACAATCTAGGTATCTGTCCCATTCGACCACAACCTCAAATGGAGATAACTACTTACCTCATAAGGGCTGTCTAAGAATTAACTCATTGTTTTTAAGGCACAAGTACAGAATATATTCCAATACACTTGAACAGGATTTATGCAAGCAGCAGACATTCTGAAGAGATTTTATCTTACTTCAGCTTTTACAAAAAATAGTCTTATCACAAAATATACCTGTAGCTACTTGATGACCCAGGCCTCTGCTGCCACTGTGAATCATTACACACACCTGGCCCTTGTGATCAATGCCCATCTTCCTGGCAGCATACTCGTTATAAATGTCATCTACCACCTGGATCTCAGCATAATGGTTTCCGGCTCCCAGGGTCCCAAGCTGCCAATTACAAGATTATTTTAGCCATCTATTGTTCAGACACCAGACAAAAAAGTGAGCCTTTGGAGGGGATTATGAACAAAGAGTCATGGGTTATGTGCAATATGGTGAACTGTTAGAGAAACTGGTTAGAACATGGAAATCTATTCCTGAACCGTGGATGTTAAAAAGACTGTGCAGATATAATCTTGTTTTTCTCCCTGGAAACTTGTAAGGGGATATAGTTTTTTAACTGGTCTAACAATAAATAGTAGTATCAGGAGAATATGATTAAACAGAAAGCCTGTCACTTTCAGCATACTTAAAAGGAATAGATTCTAAAACACAGTTAGTAAAGAGAAGCAGCCTTTACATTGCCACAGTGCTATTATCATGGTTATGTCTACACTAGAGAGTTTACAGTGACACAGATGTACCAATTTAGCTGCACTATTGTAAGCTCTCTCATAACTGCTCTATGACATCAATATAATTAACCCACCGTGAGTGGCAGTAACCATGTTGGCAACAAAAGTGTTTACAACTAGCTTACAGGTAACATTACCTGAGGCAAACCTCTTTTCTTAGCTCTTGAGGAGACCTTATTGGGATCAGCCTGCAGCATCCTTCCATATTCTTCACAGTGCTCCTTGTCCTCTGCCCAGGCATAACCTTCCCTGAGAGACCAGTCAACACCCATTTCCAGTGCCTCCTCCAAGTCCCTGTAATCATCAATACACTTTCCTTGAACTAGCACAAAATTAACCTCATATGTGACCCAAGGGTTCACACCCATGTCTGAAGCAGTGAAAAGCCCAGGAGTTCATTCAACCCTTTTTTGCAAACCAGAACACCAGTTGCACAAAGATAAAACTTGAGAATAAAGCCACTTCCCCTTCCCTGCTATCAGAATAAGTTCTAACATTTTCGCATCACCATCTATGCAATTAAAGAGAGCTAACAACCTTTAAAGCACCCTTAACTAATCCTCTGGAATTCTAGATAGCTTTGTATTATTTCTAATAGTAGAGAGAAGGAATGGGCCAAGAAGTTTTTTTCCACCACCTTCCAGCTTCCCACCTGCAAATCCCTTCTCAAAACAAAGGCCAGACACTGCCCACCCCTCAGATGTGCATGCAAACATTTTCTCACTTGGCGTTCATGGGGATGACACCTTTGGAGCCCACACCAACTGGAATATGGTCAAACATGGCCTGCGCAAGCTGTTCCTTCACAGGCTGGACATCACTTTCATCCATGTTCGTACGCAGCAATCGGACACCACAGTTGATGTCAAACCCGACACCACCTGCAAGTATTAACGAAACAAAACAAACACACAGTTAATAAATGGGGTTGCTCAATTGTGAGTCACAGAACGTTACACTGCAGCATTTGGTCACATTAATCTTAAACACTGATGTGCTTTCTGACAGAATGTTTTGTATACTAGTGCCTGAAGTCTTCATCAGTCTACCACCATATTAAATGAGACAACAGCTCCATTTTAGTGAATTTCCATGAAGATTGTAGGCTCTAAGCTAAGAATGCAATCCCCCAAATAGGATAAAACCTGACATCAGTGTTAAAAATGTAAAGTTTTCCATACCCACAGCACCTTCATTCAGTGCTACAGGGATAATTCACTGCTCTGGATACTGCACTAGATCATGGACACAAAAGCAGACTCCCACACAACCCTTAACTTGAAAGTTTGCTCCTGTGATTAATATAGAAATACCTATTCAAAACTAACAAGCACATTACAATTAAAATACACTGATTTTTTTTTACTCTCCAAATACAGTCTTTTCCATTTCAAATTTATTTGAAAACAAAATATTTGTATTTAAGGCTTTTAAAATTATTGCAAATTGTTCTGGAAGGCAAAGAGTAAGCTCTCCACATGGTCAAGTTTGGCAGTATACTGTGACTCAGGAATGTTAAGTGATTAAGGATGTTAAATTTAGATTAATCAACTACTCAAGTATTGCTGGGGGGGGAGGGGCTCGCATTCTGCTGCGTCTCTCCCTTTGAAATGTGCAAGAGCTGACCATGGCTCTTGTATACTTCAAAGGAAGAGGCTAAACAGGACTGCTTAGGTCCCCTCTCCTGCGCCTCTTCCTTTGAAATGTACAAGAGCCACATGTGGCTCTTGTACATTTCCAAGAGAGAAGTGCAGTAGTAGGGACACCTCAGCTTCCCCTGCCCCCTGTGGAGACAGTGCTAGGGGGAGCCAGCTTTTAAGCTGACTCCCCACAGCACCAGCTCCTGCTCCCCCAGTCCTTGCTGTCTCTCTCTGATAAAGGCAGCCGGAGGCGGGGGGTGGAGTGACTAGTCAGGTGACTGCTTGACTATCTGATAAGCTTATGCTTATCAGGTAGCCAACTAGTTGACTGGTAGCTTACATCCCTATAAGTGATACTTTATCTCAATATTAAAATGGGAGTAGAGTAATGTGATGAGAATTATCAATGACCTAGAAACCTCACAAGAGTGATAGGATTGTTTACTTAGAAAGGAGACAAATAAGAGGACATAATACAAGTCTATGAAGTAATGACTGCCCTAAAGAAGGCAGACTGGGAACTTCTCTCCTTGTCTCATAACACAAGGGGATACTCTATGGAATTAAAAAGAGGGAAAATCAAAACTGATGAAAGGATATATTCACACATTGTCAGAAAATAACTTTGAAATTTTACCACATAAATCATTAAGGCCAAGAACTTAAGATTAAAAAATTGAATGGTTGGTTATATAGATGTCAAGAACATTGAGTGATATAATTAATGATAAAAATTTTGGAAGCATATTAAACCTTGCTTTAGAGCCAGTTAGAGATCAAGATGAGACCTAATTGGAGGGCAGATTATCCTAACTCTGTCTGCTACAGGATTCTTAAACATCCAGTGCAGACCTGTGCTAGAGCATGATACTGGACTAGATGGACTTGGGGTCTGGTCCACTATGGCAGTTCCTGTGTTTACAATAATAGCTGTCAGGTGCCAGCAGAGGTATTTCCAACTGGTTAATAAAGGTGAACTGAAAAGTTCTTAAGAAATTAGGCAAAACTATTTAAGATCCTAAATCCGTAATAGAAGTGGACAAACACTTTAAAATTAAAGTTAAAAATAAGTTCCTCTTTTATGTGCCCAAAACCAAGTTCAGGGCTCCCTCTTCAGGAGTTGGGGACAGATACCCAAAGCAATGTGAGGAGAGCAAGACTCCCTGCACTGTTTAGCACTTTATTTTTTCTGCAAGAGTTGATTACAACCAAAGTACTCAGGAACAACATTCTGTAGATAAATCTGGGTATTAGTCATTTTATAATGTCTCTTAAGTCCTTTCATATTATAGAAACACCCTCTTTGAAGCTGAACGTGGCAGCTTTGGGGCTAACACCCAGAAGAAGGGGTAACAGAACTGATTAAGAACTGATACAGCTTAAATGCATAGATTTGCATGACAGGGAAGCTCCTATAAACGTGGAGTGTATTGAATGGGACCCTGGGTCTCGTCTTGTCAACATTGGAGCACTGGTCCAAAACAACAGAAGCTCAGCTCCTTCCCCTCCCCCATCTAACTCACCTGGCCAGTGAGTTAAGGAGAGCAACAAGATGGTAACTAAGCAACAAGATGATGGAGTGTGTGTGTGTGTGTGTGTATGAATATGAGTTCATGAGTGTGAAATATTATATGCATAATACAATATTGATATATATATTACCAATAAATGTGGCATTTTGTCTTATCCCCCCTGAAAAAGATCCTGTGAAATTATTTTAAGTACAACAGTTCCTTCTAACTTTTTCCTACACATATGCGGAATAAGTTCTGTTATAGGCACCAAAGCTTGTGTGGATCAGCACAACCAGTAAAAACACATGCTGCCAACTTCTGCCAGCTGTGGGAGTTCTGTTAATTGGCTGAGCAGCATCTGAATCTTTCCTGGGTGACTGCCCTAAGCACTCAACTTACAGGGAACACTGCTCAGGATGCATGAACTGGTATCTTAACAGATAAAAACTCTTCAAGTCATTACTAAAAATATTTCATTTTACTTTTGTATTGTAAAAATGTGTGTGTGTGGGGGGGGGGGGGGAAATCTTAAAAAAAAAAACTATTTTAAGAAAAATTTCAGAAAACCAAGGACATTTCTCAAAGTACATTAGATCATACTCAAATTACTCTTACCTGGTGACACCACTGCTTCTGGGTCACTCATGTCAAATGCTGCCATGTTACCAATGGCAAACCCATAACCAGAATGTACATCGGGAAGCCCAATAGACCTCTGAAAGAAAGATAATCAGATTTAAAAAAACAAGTGGAAAAAGAGCATTTAAATTATATCCAATCCTGTTCCACATATGTACAGGTACAATGTAACCTTACACCAAGACTAGTCATCAGAAGCAGTTTACAGATCAACACACCAGTCATCCACCTGGATTCAGAATTCCCACATTCCACACTGATCCAGAAACGACTTTTGAATTGAATGTGACATCTTAAATGATAAATGGGGCGCGCTTGGGCTGTCCCACTGCGGGCGTGCTCCGCGGCTTTGCTCTCCGTCTCCCTGGACTGCAGGGAGACGGGGAGCAAAGCCTTGGAGCACGCCCGCAGCGGAACAGCCCGGGCGCGCTTGAGCTGTCCCCCTGCGGGCGTGCTCCGCGGCTTTGCTCCCCGTCTCCCTGACCAGCAGACCAGGGAGATGGGGAGCAAAGCCTCGGAGCACACCAGCAGTGGGACAGCCGCGGCGCGCCTGGACTGTCCCGCTGCCTGCGTGCTCTGCGGCTTTGCTCCGCGTCTCCCCGG